GCGATTGTGCTGGATATTTATACTAGAGCACTGCACGGGCTGGAATTTCTAGGCCCGACCCGGCCCGGTACAGGCACAGCCCGTGCCCGGCCCGAGCCCGACAGAATTTTTAATTTCTAGGCCCGGCCCGACCCGGCCCGGAAGAGACACGGCCCGGGCCCGGCCCGAGCCCGACAGAATTTTTAATTTCTAGGTCCAGCTCGACCCGGCCCTATGACTGTAGCCCGAAACAACCCATTCCCGTTTGAACCCGTCCCGTTTCGACCCGTTCCCGAAACGAGCTCCCGATTTGAACCCGTCCTGTTTCGACCCATTCTTTAAACGCCCTTCCCATATGAACCCGTCCCGTTTCGACCAGTTTCCTAAACGCCCTTTTCGTTTGAATTTGTCCTGTTTCGACCCATTCCTTTAACGCCCTTCTTATTTGAACCAGTTTCCGAAACACCTTTTGCGTTTGAACGCGTCCCGTTTCAACCTACTTTTATAAGGCCCTGCACATCGCAACCTCTTCGCAAAAAGTCTTCATCGTTCTAAGCCTGGTCTGCGCACCTTTTCTGTTTAAGAATATGTTCTGAAGTAGCTTTACATGTCAACGCGTTCTTAAAATATACAACCCTTTCAGGCAAGCTTAAGTTTAATATATTCCTACTTAACCCCTTAAAACGTTTTTTTCAAGATGGTTCCCAAAACGTGCAAGCGCGGAACGGACTATGTACACTGCGCGACACTGATACCGCGAACACGACGTTGGCTCTTTTTTCGAATTTTACTTCGAAATGGTGTTAGTAGGCACCAAATATACCGCTTAGGTCTGTGGCCCAGATGATCACTTCTAAAGACATTAATAGTTTTCAAAACAGCGTTTTGATTCTATGAGATAAACATAAAAAACACGACGATCGCTTGTTCGCTCTAATATAGTGTCGCGCTCTGTGCAATAAGGGAGTCTTAAAATAACGTACTCAAGCACTTTGGGCAGGCTAAAATTAGCATCGCCATGGGTTTTACATCGCAACGCTATTTTTACGGTACCCAAAGCGCTTGCGTACGTTTTTTTTTAATCTTCCTAATAGTGAACTAGATATTTTTAAGAGCAATGAATCAGACAGGTTGACAAGCATATGACTGAGACTTTATTTTGTTTACAATTTATAACACTGAACCCTCGCTCACACGGAAAAAGCTTGAAGGCTTTCTAGCTTCAAGACGTGTTTTAGTTATTATTTTTAACGACGCTGTAGTGAATTTGCACTTCGCTTTTTTTTTTGTATTTAATGAACCTAAAAGATTAATGAGCAAACTTCTTGCCATCAACAACAATTTATGATTTACGGCACAAGATTGCCCAGGCACGGCTCGGGCCGGCCCGGACCGGCGCGGCCCGAGAACTTTTTTGTTCAAGCCCGAGCCCGGCCCGGGCCCGAGAAAATACGTGCTACCCGGCCCGAGCCCGGCCCGCGGGCCGGGCCGGGCTCGGGCTTTCGGGCTGGCCCGGGCCCGTGCAGTGCCGCGTTCGCAACCGCTTTGCGAACGCGGATCCGCTTCCAGTGTGAATGAGCGGTTAGGTAGGATATAGCAGTCCGCGTGCTAGCGAACAACAGAAGCAAGGGGAGGAGGGCGGGCGAGGAGGTCTTGACGCTGTCTCGCATAGCGTTCATTTAGGGGCGTTAGATGGATGGATGCTAACGGCTGTACCCTTTATAAGGGGCGGTAGTGTGCGCCACCTAACCTAGAAACTAGCAACCAAAAGTATGACTGCTCCGCTTCCCCTACGCCATTTTGTAACTATCGCCAGGCTGTGTGGGACATCAACCAAATAATCTTTAAAAGATCGGGCAAAAAAAAAATCACTTCTCGCTTTCCTCTTTGGCGAGGGCGTTGCCAATTTTCCTTTGGTCGAACCTAGTCGGCGTTACCCAACACCAAGTCCACTAGGAGACAGGGTTGAGACATTGGGTCGGAGCCACGCGGTAGAGAGTTCCAATTTTCCTGCGTTGCGCCAGTCCCCAGCTGTGCTAGTTAAAGTGGCACTTTGGGCCTGTTTGTCCATGATCACTGAGGTAAAAGAAAAAACAACACAGGCACAAGAAAGTAGACAAACAAGGGTTCTTACATAGGTATGATGATAATTTAATTAAATTCAAAGGTGTAAGCGAGCTGGACAAGAATTACAAAAATAATCCCTGGAGAAGAGGAACAAGGGGACAAAGGATAAACACACATCTCCAAACACAGCTAGGTGACGTGCACGACCGAAAAAATCCGCCTGGTCCTGGTATTCGAACCAGGTACCTCTCCATTTCAAGTGGAGCGCTCTACGAACTGAGCTAATTAGGAGTTCAGTACAGCAAACGGGTTTTATCAGCTGCCACCAGTTTAACACCAGCGAGGGTAAACGGCTTGCATTTTTTAATGTTATGATGACAACGCAATTAAATGCAAAGGTGCAAGTGAGCTGGACAAAAGTGACGAATCACCTAGCTGTGTTTGGAGATTTGTGTTTGTCCTTTGTCTCCGCTTTTCCCCTTCTCCAGGGATTCTTTTCGTCACGTAAGTAAGCGCCAAAATACCGCAGGGACGAGAAAGTAGGCAAAACCTTGTTTGTGACTTTCTTATCCCGTTTCTTTTGTTTTTTTCTTGCTTATTTATGTTGTTTTGAACCACCTGACCCAAATTGCAGCGCCGTTGCTTGTCTACTTTCTTGTCCCTGAGTTTTTTTTTTGCTTAAATACGTGTTTGTGCTAGTTATTGAAATTATGAACTGCAAGGGAGAGACACGGACATGAAGTAGAGAGGACAGCGCTATATAAGTCCCTTGCGCTTTATAATTTCAATATGTTGAACCAACTAGCCCACCTTAATATTTTTGTGGTAGTCAGTTGTACGTCTTTCAATTCTCCGTAGATAATTTCCGCCAGTTTCCCAATCTTCTCTTTGTTATTCAAGTGCACTTGCCATCCACTCTTCCATACTCGTCTGCAAACCCCAGCAATCTCACCAAATCCGTCGCCCCTTCCGGGAGGGCGGGAGCAAGCCCTGTGCACCTCAACACCATATATATATATATATATATATATATATCCGAAAACAGACGTAATTCTAAATTTGAGAATATTGACCGGAGTTGTCTTTTACTTTTCAAATTTTATTGTCTCGAAAATTCTACGTACAACAAAAAAAAAAGTTCACTTTGGTTTAGACACTAGTTTTAGCATGTTCTAGCTTACATGTCAGTTCAGCCTTCTAGCCCAGCCGTGGACAATCAAAGTGAAACTTCTGTGCGAAATGTTGGGGCGTTACTTCCTAAAACCAATAGAAGCAGGTATTTCTTTTTATATTTTTTTTATTGAGAAAGCAATTTTACGTTTTTGACCAATCCGGTTTGATGGTTGTACTACGTCATGATGTAACACCGCTAGGCACATGCACGCCATGTTCAAGAGGACCACCAAACCCCGGCTGCGGGCTCTCAGCTTCGTTCATTCTTCCGAAGTCGAGATGTTTAGACAGCCTGAGGTTAGTTTGCCAGAGTTTTTGGCGACATTGTGACACGCTGCAGACGAGACATTCTACCAGTGCAGCGCGACTGCTAGTTTATGGCATGAAAAAAAAAAAAGAAAAAGAAACGCTGCAGAATTTTGTTAAAAAAAATTAAAAACGTTTTGCAATTCTAATGCCGAATAACAGCGCAGCTCTTGAAGAGGAGAAGGGGAGGGGACGAAAGGGAGGGTATGCCCCTCTTTCTATTCTGCTTCCCTCCCATATAGTGGGAAATTTTCACTAAATTTCCCGTTAAACTTAGCGGGGAATGTTTTACGCCAAATTTAGCGGGGAAATTTTTCCCTAAATTTAGCGTGGAAGTTTTTCCACTAAATTTACCGGGGAGTTTTTTCGCCAAATTCAGCGGGGAAGTTTTCAGCTAAACTTAGCGGGACACTTTTGCGCTAAATTTAGCAAGAAAATTTCCCCACCAAATTTAGCGTGGAAATATTCCCGCTAAATTTAGGCGTCGTGTGACGTCACGAGAATGACGTCACACGTGACCTCACTCGTGCCCCTCGTGACGTCACGCATGACGTCATTATGGAACCATCCCATAATGCAACGCGCGGTTACGCCAACGCTGCTCAAGCCGGAAACGGGCGCCTGAGAGCTGCGCTTGTTGCGTTCGGGAGGGTGGTGACCTCAGGCGCGAAACCAAGAGTTGGGGCTGCGGCTCGCTGCTACCATGGCCCCGAGGAAACAGGCCTGGAGTGGGAGTACTGAAGGAGAACTTTTATATACAGTGAATATACAAGAGCATGGTCGACTAATTAATCGGCAATCGGCAGTCTGCAGTCGGCGACTTCGGGCTCTCTGAGCCCAAGTTATATAGCCCTCCGAGGGCGAGAAGGCCCTCTGAAAGAGAGGAGCCTTCTTCGGTGTTCGAGTGTTCACGAAGTGTCCGAAGTGCGGGTGCGGCTGATGCAATTTCCCGGTGTTCTTTCAGCGAGGGGCAGATGATGTAATCCCTCGACGTTCTTGCCGCGCTCCAGTGGCTGATGTAAGGAGTCGACGTTCTTGCTGAAACCAAACACCGGCAGACCCACGCACACACAGGCACGCACACGTACGCCGGTGTTTCTCCTTGCGAGGGCCCGCGATTCCAGATGGTCTCGTGGCCTCAGGAAGACGTTCTTTTTGAGTTTAAAGCCCCCAGAGAAGGCCACCACCGGCCCGATGACCCAAAGGCCGATCTCGGGAATCTGAACGTGACCGTCCAGCGCCGTTGGCAACATGTGAAGACGAACTCCAGGACGGAGCCAAGGAAGCCAGTCGTAACACGCTCTAAAAAATGAAGACGAGAGCGGCGTTAGTGTTTCGCTTAGAATCGAGTATTGTGGCGGCGTATCATGGGCACGTGTCGTGCATAGTGATCAGAGATAAGGAATACGATACTGTTCCTGAGTCCTCGTGAAAAGAGCGCTAACCGGCTCCCCCTCATTTTTTCTTCTCTACAGGGTGTTCTTCCTAGTGGAAAACGAGCGCAACTCCCTGCTGCTTGTGGCCAGTCCCTGCTCGGCCCCCATCGAGTGGCACCTTTTCCGCAAGCCCCTGCCGCCGTCCGAAAACTCGGACGAGTCCTACGGTACGGCAGGCGAACGCGCGCTCAGCTACTGGGGTGACAAAAGCCGAAAATACGGGGGGACCCCTCCCCGTAAAGGAAAACACAACTGGTTATTTAAAAAAAAAGCATAAAAAATTGTGCTTTTTTTTCTTTAATTGCGTAAGTATACTGCGCGTCGCCGAACGCTCATCCTCAGCCTAAATGTAACGCTGACCATACAGACCAGATGGCAAAGTCTCGGGTTGAACCGTGACCTTATTTTAAGCTTATAAGCGATGTCCAAAACTTTTCAATTGGGAAAATGGCTGCCCGACGGAGCCCCATATATATACATGAGGCTGAATGGAGCAAACTACCGAGAACAAACCCTATTATTCCCACGAAAGTTTAAAAACAAAATCACCTAACATGTGAATAAAAAAGCGGTTCGGCTCTGAAAATGACGAACCTTGTCCGGACCGCTAGCGCTGCATTGGGGCGTGGACTGAACGTTGGGCAATGCGTAGTTCATTGTTGCGGTGCCCAAAACATGTTAACTTTTATTGAGGGACATGTTGTATATCTACTAAAGCGCGGGACGCGGAACGTGCCTTGCGCCTGACGTAGGAACGCTGGTGATGGTACAGTGAACTTGAAATGATTGAGTGGGGCGAGCTAAACGCTCCGCTCATGCTTTCAGTTGAAGCTCAGAATGTTGAAAGTTGGCGTGGTGGCGCTGCGATCGAAGTGGCTTGGTTCGCCTGGATTTTCGTCGTAACGTCGCGTCGCGTCAAGGACGACACCGTCGCAACATCAAGTCGCCGTTGCAACGCGGTCGTGACGTCGCGCCGCGTCGACGTTGACGTCGACACCCCACGCAACGTCAAACGTCGCTATGGCGTCACGTTAACGGCGTTCTGACGCCGCCGTCGTCGTCGTAGTCAACTTCAACGTTGACATCGATGTCGTCAACGTGATAGGACGTCAGAACGCAGTCTTGACGTCGTGTAACGCGCGTTGTCATCGTCGACGACGATGTTGACGTCAAGGCCTCGTCGTGATGCCGCGTGGCGTTGTGACGACACGTAAGGTCGCGGTTACGTTATGTATTTATGCAGACTTGGACGTAGTTCAACTACTCTACTCAAACTACTGTAGTTTAACTACTTTTTTGAGTAACTTGGTAACTTTCAATTACAACTTGATTTGGATAATTAGTAGTTTAATTTAACTACTTTTTTCAGGTAACTTCTACTCAAATTACTAACTACTTTCAAAATTATATAGTGCTAATTTTGCCCATCACGAAAGTTTGAGCGCAGAAGTGAATAAGACGCCGGCAGATGAAATGGCATTCCCGAACAAGGGACCCCCTTGTTCGGGAATGCGTCCTTGGGCCAAGGTGGCGACGAGCAGCCAAAACATAACACCGGCACGCACGAACGCAGGAAGAGATGCTTAACAAGCCTTGGTCGGGTATTGACCTAATCTGGTAATGCCCGCAGGCGCCGCGTTTCCAGCTGCAACCGTGGAAGACGGGGACACTCTGAGAGTTGTAGTTGTTTTCGTGCTGTCTGTCTTTAGTGAGTTCCGACTGGAATGACGTCGCAGCCGGGCGCCTGCTCCCATGGTCGCCTTGTCGTCAGCGCATACGCCTTTGCAAAGCCGGACTCCCCCGCGCACAAACCCTGGCACGGATAATCCGTTCATGGGATCACGTTCCCTCTTCCAGCTGCAACTTTATACGAGCGACGATGCTTGTTCATGTAATCCTTCGCGTCCTTCCGACCATCCATGCCTGGGAGACCTCCTTTTTGTTAAAAATGATTTACTTGTCAGGCGTGTCAGGCTCGTCAGAATATTGTAGTCGCCGGCGAGGATTGCGAGCTACCCTTGGGAGATCCTTTTGTTGGACCCGGCATCAGCGGCGAAGTATACTTCGGTTCATATTTTGTTAAACCAAAACAATTTTTTTTTTGTAGCGTAGCACTAGCACTACAACGGGACCCGCAGTCGTCCGGATGATCTCATCGTCGTGGCGCGAGACTTGAACCCTTGACGGTCTGGTGCACCCGCTCAGCGTACTCTCAGAGCGACGTCGGAATAAAGAGGGGCCAGTCATAACAATCTCAACTTGACGAAGAAAATAAAAAAAAAGGAGGAAAGTTTGTTATAAAAGACCCTCCTTCCCGAGGCAAACCTCACACGTTTCGTCATGGATACCTAAGATGCCGACACTCGCTTACCCGACCCTGCACAGACTGTTTCTCAAATTCAACGCTGCCGTTCAATCCAGCCCGTCGGTGGAACGTCTATTTAGCTTGGCTGGGGACGTCTTTAGAAGGAAACGGGAAAAACTTTCCTATCAATAACTTTCAAGTCAATAGCTTCTGCGAGCGAATAAACTATTTTGGCGAAAACGCAAGCCATAAATAGACTGCATTTATTTTAGGCTCGCAGGGTTTTTCATTGATCAAAACTGCTGTTCATTTTGTTACCACAAAAATATAAAAAAGTAACTTCGAAAGTAACTTCAAAGTAACTCGCTACTTTTTACAGTAGTTAGTAGTTCACTCAATTACTATTACAAATGCGTAATTTCTACTCTACTCCAATTACTTTTGGCGTCGATACTCAGTAACTTAACTTAACTACCTTTTTTGAGTAACTTGTACATGTCTGTATTTATGTGACGCCTGACGTCCAGGCAGTATAAATAATACAGCACGGGGCTCTATTGTTTCTATGACCTAGACCTGTGTGCCCGTCGAGAGTGGCGTCAAAACGCAACGCTTGCTTCATAAAAAACGGCATATGAAATGCATTCTGTCTTAAAAATTATCTGCACGTTTGGTCAAGAGCTTGTATTGCAGCGCTCGTTTACTCCTTCTTTATGCATATTCAAGGAACTTCACTCGTAGCGCCCTCCAATAATTTTTTTCATATGCGGAGCTTCAGAAATAGCACTCCGGTGGCCCCACTCGTCCTTTCCAGTTCACTCTAGTGATGGTAACGGCTCTGTATTGTTTGCTTCTATATTCGAGCTTGACGTTGCGTAATTCGTGCGGTAGAGGTACACAATATATAGCACCAGAAACACTGCTTCCTGTTTTGATAGGAATCAGCATCCTACCGGCGGTGCAGTGTGTAAAGATAAAGAAGTCGATGTCAATCAGCATCTCGTGCCCATTCGCTACTTTGCGTACTGTGTCACGCACAGTCAAAGAAGTTCACTACTCTACGTTTTAAGTGTCTCGACCAACTCCTTAGTTCGTTTTCTAAGCTATGCGGTTGTCAGATTGTTAAGAACTAAGTCTATTCATCTGCCTCTCATACAAGACGGTGTTCCGGCTTCCCCAACCTTCTCGAGTTAAGATCGAGACCGTGATACGAGAATAGGCCGCTTTTGAGCTATAAACTTTGAGCACGGGCGTACATCGCAGAGCCTAGTTCAGCACTCGTACAGCATTTGCCCAATCATCCATTCACGGCGGAGATAACGAGCACCATTCAAAGGCAGGCCAACTTTCCCCTGTTTAAACTTCCGTAGAACAAATTTGACGTGGTCAGCAAGAACAGCGGCGTGAGAGGTATAGTCAGTGTAAGCGGCGTATTGAAGGACTTTGGTGTGAGCCGCGCAACGGAAGGTCCCGCACTTAGGCGTCTTTTCTTATTCGCCCTTTCGCAAACATTCAGCGCCATAACTGAGCGCCGGCATGAAGTGTCAGATCCCTGGGATGCCAGAGAAATCGCTGAGCCGCGTATATGCCTTCCAGCTAGTTATTTTTCAGGCCGCTACTTAGCATCTATAGTAATTGCTCAGATACCGTCAAACGTTACGGAAAGACGACGATAGTATCATAATAACCATCAGTGAACAACTGTTAAATTAGCCCTCAAAGGTTTTTTTTTTGTTTTTGTTTTTTTAATTCGAATGCTTGAAATGGGGGGTAAGAAAAGAAAAGCGCGATGTCACATTTGGCTCACGTCCCTGTGCACTCGGTATAAAAAAAATTAATTGAGCGTTGTTTTTCGTTCAAGTATTTAGGTCACGGTAAACAGCTACACTTGTAACGAAAAAAAGAAGTGACCCCACCAAGATTTGGCGCAGCTACAGAAGCAGGCTGGTAGTGACTACTACACTGAGTCGACCAACGCCGAGTCCGGCACACAAAAAAAGAGCATACTCAGTCCTATCACGTGAGCTGTGCTAATATTTCTTTGCAGTGTATTTTAGACAAAAAGCATAAATATCTAGAAAATAAAGAAATCATTGCCTAAGCATAACGTTATTGGACATGGCGAACGTCAGAGCTGTTGACGGGCTACAAATCTCTCTTACAAGTGTGCCAATTGAGACGAATATTAAACGTTCGATTAGTAATTCTCACGTAATTTGTTCGCTAACTGTAACGCAATAGCCTCCCAGACATCTCCTGCGCTAGACCTCTCAGAAGAGAGTGAGAGGGCGATTGACCGGAGAGCAAGTCGTCTGCTTCTTGTCCAGGAGTTGCGGTGACGTCAGAAAGACGAAGAGCCCTTATTGGCTCTTATTGAAGGATAGTGGGTAGACCTCAAAGCTTGCTGCCTTGAGGTCTACCCACTATCCTTCATTCAGAACCAATCAGAGCTCGGCGTTCTGACGTCACCACAACGCCTGCAAAAGAAGCAGACGAACTTCCGCTCCGCGTAGTTCAGACCAGGGCCGGCTGGCTAGAACAGCGTCTCAGCTGAGACTGGGTGAAAAAAAGCACTGCAAAGGCTGGGGCACGCGAGCGTGTTGAGATGCGGCAGAAGTCCCGCTCAGCTCGTGCGCTGGCTTTGGCAGTGCTTTCTTTTGCCCAGTCTCAGCTGAGACGCTGTTTCTAGCAAGTCGGCCCAGAGGTTGGCATTTTTGATGAACCAACTCACTCACAGCTAGCCCAAAATAAAAAGAAGTTGAAAACTCACTCACCCTCACCCTCATGACTGCACCCACCTTAAAGTCCTCCGGCGCACCCAGGAAGCTTTGATCACGCCGCGAGACCGGCAAGACTTGCGTT